GTAACTCTTGCAGTAAACTCCGCGAAGGCTTTCCGATTCAGGAATGTCTAGATCTTGTATTTACGATTTAAGATATCAGTCCACACAAGGCAAGTCTCGTTTTAAGCGAGCAAGGTACAGGTCTCGTCACTTCGGAGATCTGCGCAGCTTTGAGTGATAAGGCCTATGACGTCATGTGGCGTGGACGGAGAGCACGAGGCCGGGGGAATTAGAGCATGGTAGGGTGGGAAGGAGATAATAGAAAACGGTAGCAAATGAGCAAATACTTAAGTAATTTTAGATATCGGCCTATATCGCATATTTTACGTGGATTCAGTTTTGCCACTCTCATGCTGTAGCTTAGATATGGCATAAAAGTAAGCTAGACAAAGAAGACATGGCATAAAAGTTTTTGACGATTTGTTTTTATAAAACAAATCATACAACCAACGTATCACAACACTCACTGCATAAAACCGATAAGTAGAGCTTATTATATATATATATATATATATATATATATATATATATATAATATATATATATATGTATATATATACATATATATATATACATACACACACACACACACACACACACACACACACACACACACACACACATATATATAATATATATATATATATTATATATATATATATATATATATATATATATATATATACATATATATATATAAATATATATATATATTTATATATATATTTATATATATATATATATATATATTATACATATATATTATTCATATTTATAATGAATATATGTACATATATACATACATACACACATATATTTACATATAATTAATAATAATAATAATAATAATAGTAATCACTGAACAATTATTATTATTATTATTATTATTATTATTATTATTAAAAGCTATATTAATAAGAGCCACACTGAATTTATTTATACCACCAAAGGTGGTATAAATAAAGAATGAGAAGATAGTAAGTCAGATATTGGCGTAAGAAAAGCGTTAGTTGTTCTTTTACACTTATCAAGAGTCAGAGAAGTTACAATCTCTGAAGGCAATCTATTCCAAAGTCTACAAATTGCAGTAAAAAAGCATCTAGAAAACTGACTTGTAGACGATCGACTTACATCAAATGTCATTGAATTGAGGGTCATAGAACTTCTGGTAATTCTTGCAGGTTGATAAAAATCAGGTAAAACTTATAGAGGAGATGTGAATTATCGGTTACAATCTTGTATAAGACTGAAAGAGCCCCAAAACTCTACGATGTCCAGTGTCCAAATTTAAGTCAGACAGGAGAAATTTAATGGAATTAAAAGAACGATCAAGCAGTCCTAGGTGTGAATCTGCAGCAGATAACCACACAGGAGAACAATACTCAAAATGAGGCAGAATAAAAGAAAAGAAACACCTACGAGTAATGTTGTCATCTTCATAGATTTTCTTGCACTTGCGAATGATGCCTAACTTTGATGAAATTGCCCAAGCCATATTCCTAATTTGCAATTCAAATGTAAGCTTTGAATCAAAGGTTACACCTAAGAGCTTCAGGTTATCCAATGAAGTGATTAAGACTCCATTAATCAGCAGACTTGAATGCTGAGGCAACTGCGTTCGAGACCGACGCACAATCATTGCTTTAGACTTAGTAGGATATAATTTCATGCCCCACCGAGAGCACCACGATTGAATCACCATCAGGTCTATTGTGATAGTGTCAGCTACTGTTTGCCTAGATGCCGGAGAAGGAATATCAGCATAGAGAGAAGTATCAGCAAATGCCAACATTTAATTAGTAATGCCAGACCACATATCGCTTGTATATAAAATAAAGAGTCAAGAGCACTACCCTGAGGAACCCCAGAAGTCACACGGGAATACGAGCTAAAACTACCATCAACATGAACACGCTGCTGCCTACCAGTTAAAATTCAGTTAGAGTACTTAAAACTTTACCACCAACAGACTCTAACTTAAAAATTAAACCCTTGTGATTAACAGTACCAAAAGCTGCACTAAAATCCAGTGAGACAAGTCTAGACTCATGACCCTTATCTAAAGCAGACTGCATTATTACATTACATCCAAGAATGACCACACGAGTAGCGTTGAACCCCTAGGCTTATTTATACGCCACGTGACGTCAAGCGCGAGACGGACGAATTTGAGTCGCTTACAAAGAAAGATAGGAAAGCACGTATCACACCGATTTTTAAAAAAAATGTGAGGCCCAAAGCTTCATATAGTCTATGTAAGTATAGGTCTCGTCAGTAAGCGACCAAAGACTATGGTATTTGGTCACAGTAACGAGACCGGGGGCCGGATTCTCAAACGCATTAAGGCGCCGTATCTCCTTAAGGCGCCTTAACTTACAGCCGAGCGATCTTACATACACATACACAGAGTAAGGGACCCGCTATATTGCTGCGAGTTAAGGCGCTTTAGGTCAAGGTAGGGGGAGAGGAGCCGTTAGCGATTTACGGCGGGCGGGAAATCAACACTCTTCGCTCTTATGCAAGGGAAAGACAGCAAGACGGTTAAGGCCTCCAGCGCGCCTTAACCTATGGCTTTTCTGAGAATCCGGCCCCTGTACTTGTATAGACCTTGTTACCGAGTGCTTATATTCACTGAACTACTGTGTACTTATTTTCCTATTTGTATAACTGCGCTCCAAAACCAAGCTGCTCTTTAGACCAACTGCCTTCACGGTTTGTAAGCTCTTGCGCAGAGATGCTTTCCCCTCTGTTTCTCACATGCAGTCTCATATTTGGCCTTGATGAAAGTCATTTAAGACTATGTTGCCTGTGATACGGCAAGGTCCATCACTTCGGAACATGCAGCATGCCATGTAACTTACTTTTCTTGGCCTCGACTCCTGTAGTTGCGCATTCTAATGCAACTGCTCTGTGTTTATCTCCGAAGGAAATTTAAGCAAATAAATAACAATCATAGTAAAAATTCCACCGTGTACAGGGTTGGAATATGCAGAGGCTGTCTGGGTATTTGGCGATTGAAGTTGTTCTAGAGAAGTTAAAACAAAATCTTTGGTAGGAGATATAGAAGACTGAAAAAAAATCGTTAGAGAAAAAAATAATGATACTTTTCTACAATCACATACAAAAAGCGACCAAACGCCCTTCACAATATGCCACCTCCCAAACCACGCTTTCATATGCCTGTTCCTCTAGTGTGGCGGTTTGGTAGGGTTGAGAGCCGGAATGTTACTCGATTGACCCGGATGAAATCTGCCATAGAAGTAGGAAGATTGCTAAAATATCTATCATGCAAGTAAAAAGTTATTATGCAAGTCAATTTTACGTTTGGATTTTCTGTTTTCTTTTTTCTTTAGCCACATAAAAGGTAACTTGTTGTGGGTGAACTCATAGAAGGGATAAATTAGGACAGGGGAATTGGCAGATAGGGTTTAATGAGGATGAGTGTTCTGAATGACGGGGTAAATCGAGACGGGTGAAATGGCTGACGGGGTTACTACGCAAAAAGAATAGGAACCACTAATCTAGACGGTAAGTATTACATTAAATTATTCAATAGAAATTTTCTAGAACAAGGGTACAAATTTAAACCGTTGAGGCTTGTCCAGTCAACGATCGCTTCCTAAACCTCCCTCATCTGAGTCCAGTCAACGATCGCTTCCTAAACCTCCCTCAACTACAATTCCAGATTTCAAATATAGCGCTGCCAACGCTTAATTTCAACCACAACGCTACATCGCGTTTTCTGTAGTATAAGAAGGAGCAATTTCAGAAAACTGTCAGCACTGTTGTAGGGTACACTAATACATTTCAATTGCATTTTATATACACAAAAAGGGGCTGTGGTCGGTATTCAAGACATACAAAACAAGTGTTACGTAATGATGTGGAAGATGCGCTGTATAATATATTGTGATTTTTGTAGACTAGTGACAGATCTACAAGGGGATGGGGAAATTGGTTAGTTACCCCGCTAATAGGGCTTGCCTCTCTTTACTTTCTCATTACCTCCGCGAAGGTGGTTATGTTTTTGGTAGCGTTCGTTAGTTAGTTAGTTGGTTGGTTAACTGGATAGATTTTTATCAAAATTTTACCAGAGGTGAATTTCGGTCATTTAGCCTAATTTATATCATGATCCAGATTATATTTAATGATTGCTTTAGTTACCCCTATTGTCAAGATTATCATTATTATTACCTTTATTACCCGCATTGTTGGAGGTATGCACTCTCTGAGTGCTTGTAGTTCTTTAAAATTTAACTGTAATACGAAGTCGCCTGTATCCATAAGCTTTAAAATTATTAAAACAAACAATATATCGATCAAATTAGCTTTAATGTTTGCAGCCCTTATCATTATTTCTTTGTATATGCAACTTTAAGTTCTCCCGTTTATATTTCCCATACCCTCCTGTCAAGAACTCTGACCTTTTGCTCCTCTTGTTAAATTTCCTTGATCCACCAGCGCTGTAAACATGAAAGACAAGCCTGTCTTGAGTGAATTTCGGTTATTTAGCATTAATTCATCTCGATTCCACACTGTCATTGTCAATGATAACAGGAAAATAGTAAATAGATTAGAAGCTAAGTCAGTTATATATAATTTTTCCACTTCCCTCTACCTCTTGAAAAGTGGATTTTCAAAAAGTTCTAGTAAGTTCATCAGGGTGCCCCTAGGAAGATAGATGATAATAATTATAATACATACCAGTCATGCTTGCCAGAATAATCGAGAAAACACAGGAACTTTCATAGCTAGAATAATAAAAGCCCCCTTTGTCAAATGAACCGTATTCATGTTGACAATTCTAGAAAGGGTATGAATAAGAATGAATATCTTCACAATATTAGAGATGTATTTGACCGGTTTCGATTATATCTTCGTCAGAAATACATGATATATTCGAAACCGGCCAAATACATCTCTTGTATTGTGAAGATATTCATTCTCATTCATACCTTTTCTACATACCCACTTTGTCAAATAATTTTCCGGTCACCCAAGCCTTCCTCCGCCCTCCGTAA